GAGAATAACTGTGGGGCAAATTTGGCAAACATTGGGGTGAGGCTATCTGTAGGTGCCTCCGTCTCAGCCCAGGGGTTGCTACCTTCCCCTGGCTCTATTGGGGGGAGTAAGCTCTCAAACTCGTAGAAGTCCCTACCAATTAAGACAGGGTAGGGGAGCCTGGGGACCACCCCTGCAGTCACCGCGGTAGTATTCCCCTGGATCTCAATCCATACCGGGATTGTGGGGTAGAAATTTACGGTGCCATGAACGCATGTTACCCCTGTGTTTTTGGTCCGGGTTAGTTGTTCTTGCCCCACCAACTTCCCCGAGACCAGCGTGACAGCACTCCCAGAATCTTCTAATGCTACGGTTTCGATTCCATTCATTTTTACTGATCTTGTATACCCATGCGAGGTCATTGTGACCCCTACCAGGCTGATTAGGCCACATTGCTCCCCATGATCCCCCAGATTACATTGCATAGGCTCTTCCCTGTTGGGGTATTGGGCTGCTATACGCCCCAATTCCCCACCCTCATAACACCGCCCCCTTATTCTGGTTGCCGCCCTCTGCCTGGGGCTATTTGGCTGGCCCCCCCAGCCCTCTCTTCCCAAACCCCCAGGTCCCTTCTCGGCCTCGGGCCATTCCTCGGTGTCTTTCCTCCAAGTTATGGTTCTCCTGGAGTTCTCGATAGTCCAGGGCCTTGGGTTTGGGACTGGCTTCCTGATTTGCCGTGTCTCACCCCGTGGGGTCTGGAACAATTTGTGGGCTGTCATCATAGGTGGAGGGATCATTCTGGCCAACCCAAGCCCGGAGGCCTGGTGGTAGCTCCCTCATGTACCGGCCCAGTACCAGGAGCTCCATCATGTTCTCAGAGCTTAGGGTCTCAGGGCGTAGCCATTTCCGGGTCAGGTGGACCAGGTCAAACAATTGTGATCGGGGTGTCTTGTCCTCTGTATACTGCCACTCATGGAACCTCTTGGCTCGCAACGCCGTCGTTACTCCGGCTCTGGCCAGGATCTCTGACTCCAGCTGCGGCTAATCTGCTGCAGTCTCCGCGGCCACATCATAATAAACCTTCTGGGCCTCCCCACACAGGAATGGGCGAGGATACCAGGCCACTGATCTTGAGACCAGGCCTCCTGAAGGGCTGCTCTTTCAAAAGCCAGGAGGTATGCCTCCACATCATCCTCCCATGTCATTTTCTGTAGGCAGTGGCTGGCTCGTATAGTCCGGGTCCCGTCGCAGTTGTGGTTCAGCTCCATAAAGGTCTTCACCTGGTTCACCAGCTCTTGCAGCAGGGCTCGGTCCTGGGCAGCCTGACTCATCAACAGATGATTAGTCTCCTGCTGCATCCGAGTCGCCTCCTGTTGGGCGGTTGCTTGGACCCAGGTAGCCTCCTGCTGGGCTGTGGTGGCTTGTATTAGGGCCTTGACCACGTCGTCCATCTTAGGGACAGGAGGGTTTTGGCTAATCCTAGTTTAAGTCCCAAGCGCGTAGATCCCACTGCTAACACAACGTGTGGCAAATTGCCGGCACTACTTTGATTAGTCTCGCGCTTTCTCTTCTTGGGGGGGTTCAGGGCACTGGGGTATTAACTGCCCCACTAGTGTCCTAGAGGAGGGGAGTGGAGAGGGAGGGACCGGGGCCCACTCTCTACTCCAGGTTACAGCCCAGAGGCCCTAGGGATAGCGGTAAACAGCTTAAACTAGCAGTTCCTTCCCATGGGCTACTTCCCTCTCTTGTCCTTCAGCTTGTGGGACTTCCTGCCCTCCTTCTGCACAAACCAGGTGTCCCTTTACCTAGGGTCTTGGTCTTCTTAGCCCACCACAGCACTTCTCCAAACTCTCCTCTGCTTCCCTCCAAACTCCTCTCTGCTCCAACACCAATCCACTCTGCTTCAACTCCTCCTCCTGTCCAGTTGAAGCCGGGGGGTTTATCATGTGACTGGCTTCAGGTGCTCCAATTGGCTTCAGGTGCTTTAATTAATCTATAGCAAACTTTCTTCCCTCTACAGGGAATAAGGTTCCCTTCTAACATTCTCCTTTTGCCCTCTGGCCATGCTGTATCACAATACATACACCTACCATAAAATCTGCTGCCCTAATTACACTGTACATTCGTTACAGTGAATAATACATACACTTATCATATGATTCTGTTTCTTGAAGATACCAAATGTAAGGCCCATTTATGTCAGTAGCATGTGGTTTATAGTACCTACGTTGTGCTGACACTGAATTTATATATGTTATTTTTACATTTTACAGGTTACCTCTCCGCACTTAACTCTGCTCCGCTGGTTATGACTAGCACTGTCAAGCAATTAAAAAAATAACAATTAATCGTATGATTAATCGCACTGTTCAGCAAAAATAGAATATCATTTATTTAAATATTTTTGGATGTTTTCAAATATACTGATTTCAATTACAACACAGAATAAAAAGTGTACAGTGCTCACTTTGTATTTATGTATTTTTCAATTCACCTTATACAAGTACTGTAGTGCAATTTTTTATCATGAAAGTTGAACTTACAAATGTAGAATTATGTACAAAAAAACTGCATTCAAAAATAAAACAATATAAAATTTTAGAGCTTGCCAGTCTACTCAGTGGTACTTCTTATTCAGCCAATCGCTAAGACAAACAAGTTTCTTTACATTTGCAGGAGATAATGCTGCCCGCTTCTTGTTTACAATGTCATTTGAAAGTGAGAACAGGTGTTCGCATGGCCCTGGTGTAGCCGGCATCACAAGATATTTACGTGCTAGATGCACTAAAGATTCATATGTCCCTTCATGCTTCAACCACCATTCCAGTGGACATGCATCCATGCTGATGATGGGTTCTGCTCGATAACAATCCAAAGCAGTGCAGACCAATGTATGTTCATTTCCATCATCTAAGTCAGATGCCACCAGCAGAAGGTTGATTTTCTTTGCGGTGGTTTTGGGTTCTGTAGTTTCCGCATTGGAGTTGTTGCTCTTTTAAGACTTCTCAGATTTTGGAAGGTACTTCAGATTCTTAAACCTTGGGTTGGTTAAAAATCCCACATTGCATTTTGTGAAATCTACACTGAAAGTGCTCTTAAACTGAACATGTGCTGGGTCATCATCTGAGACTGCTATAACATGAAATATATGGCAAAATGTGGGTAAAACGGAGTAGGGGGACATACAATTCTCCGCCAAGGAGTTCAGTCACAAATTTAATTAAGGCATTATTTTTTTAACGAGTGTCATCAGCACGGAGGCATGTCCTCTGGAATGGTGGCCAAAGCATGAAGGGCCATACAATTGTTTAGCATATCTGGCACGTAAATACCTTGCAATGCCAGCTACAAAAGTGCCGTGCAAATGCCTGTTCTGCACTTTCATGACAAAGAGATTGCACTACAGTACTTTTATGAGGTGAACTGAAAAATACTATTTCTTCTGTTTATCATTTTTACAGTGCAAATATTTGTAATCAAAAATAATATACACTTTGATTTCAATTACAACACAGAATACAATGTATATAAAAATGTAGAAAAACAGCCAAAATATTTAGTACGTTTCAATAGGTATTCTATGGTTAACAGTGCAATTAAAACTGCGATTAATCGTGATTGATTTTTTTAATTGCAATTAATTTTTTGAGTTAATCGTTTGAGTGAACTGCGATTAATCGACAGCCCTAGTTATGACCAGAGAAAAATTCAGATATCATTACTATTTAATACATGTTATTCCCCACTTACAGAAACAGCTATAAAATAGCATTATATTGAAATGTGAAACAGTATGGAAATTCTCAGTTATGGGCACACTGAATATTAATTCATGTTCACTGATAAATTTAGCACTAGAAAATTAACTCTTAAAAATTAAACATCACTTGGTCAGTAAAAGCCACTACAAATGCTTTTCAATTTAGCTGACTCCCAAGGGAGTGATTCTCTCTCTCTCTCTCTCTCTCTCACACACAAACACACACACACACACACACACACACACACAGACACCGTTGTCATGAGTTCCTCTCACTATCTTGCCAGGCTTTGGAACTGTGGGATGATTTTATTAAATGTTATTCTTTCTGTTTCTATTCCTGGTCACTAAAACTTCAGGGATCAAAGGGAACTGCCTCATATCTGCCCAGTGTGTCATCTGGAATGTAAGGGAGGTGAAATGAGAAATATATCAGAGTTCTATATAGGGACTCCTGCGGAGGTAACTTAGGCACACAGAGGACACTGTAGAGTCTTGATGATCTCTCGTTAGGGATGTGGGAATCTCCCAAAATTCTCATGGGTGTGTAACTGAGTGAGAGACAGAGATATTGTAGGGATTGAAAAGAGAGGGAGGACAGATAAAGGAGACAGAGAGGGGAGAGAGACACAGACAGACATATAGAGGGGGAAAATTTCACTTGAAACTTGTAGCTTGTTTTTTCAGCCATAGCTTCCATGGCAAATCCACTTCAAAACACTGGGCCCTACAGCACCTGTAGCTGCAAGAGCAGGAAATAGAGTTGCTCTGAGTCTCCTGCTCTTTTCTCCACATCACCTTCCGCTGGGAGAGGCCAAGAATGGAATAACTGGGAGCTCCCTAACTCCAGCATCAGTCTGCTGGGAGATGCTACAATTACAATAGCTGCGGAGATTCTCTGCAACAATTTGCTGTCCTTGTACACTGCCATATCTTCTTTATGTAAATACATGTTAATGTCTGCATATATATGAAGTTCTTATTTGTAAGATGCGGTCAGCCTTCCATGATCTCACAAAGGAACACAATATATGGAGTGTGAGGACCACGGGAAAGCCTAGAGGAAAATTTAAACACTGGTAAAGCCAATTTCTGGAATGTCAATTCATTTAAAGAACTGCCCCCACCACTTAATCAACTCTTAGAACAATCTGTGATGCCATACATTGGACCATTCTTATGTTAGCACTGACCAGAGATTATTAAGGAGTACCATATGATTTACATTTTGAAAATGTAAAAAAACAAACAAAGGCAATGCTTCCTTATAGATATTTTATTCAAATGTTATGTTGACAAATGACACAAAGTAATATCTAGAAATCTACAAGAGAAACATAATTCAAAGAAATAACCGCAGAAAATAAATCCTCTCTAAGCTCTCTATATATGTTATTGCATAACGAGTTAGTTCCTTATAAACTGCTTACACAAAGCAAATCTTATAGTTTTATGTTCCCTTGGTGAAACAGCATCGGCTGCAGAATAAGCAAGATACTCTTGTGTTAGCTGTGATGGAATACACACGTACAAAGGTGCTAACATGACTCAGTCACTGTGCAGAATTAGGAACGAGGAGTACTGGTGGCACTTTAGAGACTAACAAATTTACTCCTCGTTCTTTTTGCGGATACAGACTAACACGGCTATCGCTCTGAAACCTGTACAGCATTACACATTTAAACAGGATTCACTTTTCAAAAGGCTACAAGCTGAAGCAATGGCAACGAAATGGCTACGAGTAACTAAATCAAATTGAAATGATTAAACATTCTAATGGGCTTTCAGCTCATGCAAGAGCAACCCACCAACTGAGAAAACATGCTGTGATCGCAAAACAGTCCTCTCTTGCACCCATCCTCACTGCATCCTCTTCCCCTCCCCCAGTTCTGGAGTTTAATGAGGGTGATGTTTCCTGTCAACTGGTTTCTGTTGCTTAGCAGCTGATGGCTGGTTCAAGACACTCACGGCTTCCAGAGACTGGCTGGCTGCCCAGGCCAGGATACTGGCGGCTAACAGGGATTGGCTGATGCGAGCGCTCTTTTCTGTTTCTTATTTACATGTAGGCTGAAAACTGGAGGCTGGTTCCTACCTGATGAAATTGTTAAGCAAGAGGGAATGTCCTGGTGAGAAAAATGGGAGCTGAAGTTAATTTCTTTTCGGGAGGTTGGCAGTTTAACATTTGCACTCTAGACTCACTCTGGGATTTAATGGACATGGCAGGAACTCACTGTAAATGCAATCACCATGCTTCAAATCTCATTCAGAACCAGGGTGAGTTGAAAGGAGTTCCATGGCACGCTTAATGGTCACAGGGAGTCATTAGTACTGGTTGGGAGTTTTCCAACTAAACAATTTTTCATCAGAACATGCAGATTCATCGAAACCAAAATGTGTTGGAGAAATATATCAATTATGATGAAGCTTTTGCCAGGAAGGTTTTCTCAAGGCCAGAATGTCATTTAAAGAGGGAAAGACAGAGGGAGGATGCCCTTCCCAGAATAGCCAATAGCCTGGTGGTTTGGGCATTCACCTGGGATATAGCGGACTGAGGTCCAAGTCCCTACTCTGTCTAATGCTGAGTGGGGACTTGAACCTAGGTCTTCCACAGATGTGCTCTAGTCACCAGGCCTTTGTCTTTTTGCAGAGGGTGTGCTTGCTTGCTTTCACCTCCTGGGTGTGGTTATAAAAAAATTTCAAAAGGCCTCAGGATTGTTCCAAAGTAGAATGAAAGGAAATCTTGTTATTTCCCACAGAACAGAAATTCCATTCTTTGACCAGCTCTACTCATCATGCACTGATTATGGATTACATATCAACCGCTGACACTGGTGATTTGGAAATGGAGGAGACTTTAGGGGAGTTCAATGAAACATTCAATGGCCCCGTTACTGGGAGGGAATATATAAACCCCATCCAGACATTGGCAAGGAAAGGGGTTAACCCGCTCTGGTTGGGGGATGGGAGGCCTGACAACAGTTTTGCTAGTGTCGATGGGCCCTGAGAGAAGGATGTGCACTGTAGAGCTGGAAGTCGAGTATGCAAGGGAGGGTCAGGAAGAAAGGTCTCTAGGTTGAGGACGGGATCTGAGAGAAGAACTGGGGGGTTTCCCTCTCTGGAACTTGCCTAGCCATGCTCTAGACCAGGGGTTGGCAATCTATGGCACGCGTGCCAAAGACGGCACACAAGCCGATTTTTAATGGCACGCTGCTGCCTGCCGAGTCCCAGCCACCGGCCCCGCTCAGCCCGTTGCCGAACCCAGGCCGGGACCCCGGCAGGCAGCAGCGTGCCATTAAAAGTCCTGCCCGCCCCGGCCCGCTCTTCTCCGCCCCCCTTCTCCCCCCCTCACACACACCCAGCCCTCTGCCCTGATCCCTGCACGCCCCCACACCTTAGCTCTCTGTCCTGATCCCTGCACCCCCCTCACACACACCCAGCCCTCTGCCCTGACCCCTGCACCTCCCACACACCCCAGCCTCCTGCCCTGACCCCTGCACCCCCATGACCCCAGCCCTGACTCCAGTACCCCCACACATACCAAGCTCCCCCACGCCCAATGCCCTGACTCCTGCACCCCCCTCACATACCCAGCCCCTCACACCCGATGTCTTGACTCTTGCACCCCCCACATTCCCACTCCCACCCTGAGCACCAAATAGGAGCTCCTGTACCCCCTACCCCCACCCCACATTCCCACCTGCACCCCTCGCACCAAATGGGAGCTGCCCAGGTAAGCACTCCACACCCAAACCTCCTGCCCCAACCCTGAGCCCCCTCCCTTATTCTAGCTCCTGGCCAGACCCTACACCCCAACCCCCAGCCTGTTTCTTCACCCCCAGCCCTGTGCTCAGTGCACTCCCACCCTCAGCTCAGTGCAGAGAGAGAGAGAGAGGAAGAGAATGGGCTAGAACCAGGAAGAAGGTAGGTACCCACTCTATGTGGGCAGGGCCAGGATCCTAGACCGGCAGTGGGCTGAGTGGGGCCCTGGCTGTCAGGAGCCGGCGGACGGAACCCCAGACCGGCAGCAGGCTGAGTGGCAGCGGGCTGAGACGCTCAGCCCACTGCCGGTCTGGGGTCCCGGCTGCTGGCTCCACTCAGCCCACTGCCGGCCCCTTGCCAGCCAGGGTCCCGGCCACAGGCCCTGTTCAGCCTATTGCCGGCCTAGGTGAACGGAACCCCAGGCTGGCAGCGGGCTGAGCGGGCCGGTGGCGTAAGATCAGGATTTTAATTTAATTTTAAATGAAGCTTCTTAAACATTTTGAAAACCTAGTTTACTTTACATACAACAATAGTTTAGTTATATAATATAAAGACATAGAGAGAGACCTTCTAATAAACGTTAAAATGTATTACTGGCACGTGAAACCTTAAATTAAAGTGAATAAATGAAGACTCGGCACACCACTTCTGAAAGGTTGCCAAACCCTGCTCTAGACCTTTGCTTTATACTTTGGCTGAGGAAAACCCTGCTGGTGTTTGTCTCTTAAAAGGACTGGACACTTTTTACATTTATACAGCTTTGCAATAAAGCAAACCACAGAGGTGTTTTTTAAATGCGACAAAAGATGCGAAGAACCTTTTCCTGTCCTTTTAGCATCCCCATGACCTCATTTGGGAATCACTGTATGTTATAGTTCAGCTGCAGGAAAAACTCTCACAGAACCAAGGAGATTTCGAAGGAGGTCAAGGAAACATCCAGGTCAGAAAATGGGTTCTGCATGCAACTGTGGATCATTTCTGGATGCACTTTCCCCCTCCCTAAAGTTCCACTGACCTGAAGGATGGACTGGAGTTCGAGAGAATATAGCATTATCCATGGAGCGAAGTGCCTGGGCCAATAATCATCTTCATACTTGTCCTCATCATCGACAAATGTTCTCCAACAGTCATCATAATCTGGGAAAATGGACCTATTCACTTATGAGCTGAAGGAGACATCAGTGGACTCAGCCCACTCAGAGATCAGTCAGGCACAAGGGAGCAAGGCCATGCATTGGGCTTCTGCCATGGAGACACATCACCCTTAGGAAGAACCAGCTGACGGAAGCCAAGGATACACTAGCATTTGGAACTCATGTTCTCCTGGCTTTTTCCATCTTTCTGTCCAGGGGAGGCCTCATTAAACCTGCCTTGCAATATTTCCCTGACTTATTCACCTGGGACAGGTCATTTATGTAAAGTAAGAGTAAAATATCATCTAATTCTTCATAATTAGTAGCAACAGCACAGCATCTATGCGTGAGTCGATTTTACACTGGGGCTGGATTAAAGGTGGCTTCAAAGACATACCCCTGCATTTAAATATAATGGTATGTTCTAAGGGGAAACTGACAATGTGGAAATGTGCCAGACTGACTGCACCATGAAGGAGGCTGGTGTTCTTTGTTTATACTCTGAATGGAACATCAGAGACAGTGGCAGCCAAACCAGCTTCACCCATGCACATGGGCTCACCAATTTGCACTGCCTCAGTTCTGAGTTCCCATCTCTAGCAGTAAAAGGGGCTTTCACTCTTTACGGCTCATTCATGCCTCAACCTCTGTGCTGAGACAAGGGGATCAATAAGTGCCAGCAGGGATGGAGATTTTAGTGATCGTCACCTGCCCTGCTAGGAATTTGCCTGCAACCACCAGCTCATTTCACATAAGCCACAAAATGGCTATCGGATAGTGTTTTTCCGTTACAGACCTAAAGAGGCAAAGCTCTGCATCCCATTGCACAATCCCCCCAAGACTTGGGGACAGACTGGAATTGTTGACCCAGAAGTGAGGGGTTCCATAACTCATATACAACTTCAGCTGGTCACTGACCAAGGATGAATTGGAACCAGTGACCTAGAGGCAAAATGCCCCCAGTCCCATCCCTAATCCCCTCTGAACCATCCAGATCCTGTAACCCCATGAGTCATTACCTGGGAGGTTTAGTCATTACCTGAGAGATCCATGACTTGGATGGACACGCCGATGTTCATCAGGCTCCACAGACCCTGACGATTGTTTTCCTCTTTGTGCCAGTAGAGCCGTGCTACATAAATGGCTAGACTCAAATTAGGCATTTTCTCCAGAAAACCTATGATCTTCTTGCAGCAGTCCCCACAGGGACTCCAGGACATGTAACAGGTGATGGAGCAGTGGACAAAATGATCATATCTTAGCTTTTTACAGACATCTTTCAGGAAGTACTTTTCAGCATGCTCACCGCCGGCACAACGGATCCATCTTTGCCAGCGCCTTCTGCAATAGTTCCACTTGATTTCATAGAGAAGGTAAGTCACACTTGAAAGGACACTTGGGTCATAATTCTTCACAAATGCCTTCTGCCGTATCTTCCACCTGAAAGACATCCCAAGGAGTCACTGTCTGCATCTGTATCACTAAGAGCTTGCCAGTCACAGCAAGTTAAAAATGAGAGGGATGGGAAGGAGGCACAGTTAAATGGAAAGGGAACTTACAGAAGGATAGAGGGAGACTTAGAGATAGTGATGGAAGAAAAGAGAGAGGTAGGGAAGAAGGAGAGTTAAATCTGATGTCACACTGATGAGACGGGAGTGAGATCTGAATCTTCCCAGCTCCCACTTTGCCTGTAAATCTTGTGGAGGATGTGGGTATGGTGCTTTCATTCTCACCCCTGTGTGATGCCTCTGCATACAGGATCTGTGGAAAAGAGAATAGAGTCACCTGGTGCACAGAGAGAAACAGGGGAAGAGAGAAAAAGGGAGGCCTCCGAATGCATCCTCCCTGGGACCACGTGGCCTACAATTGTTCCTTCTCAATGGACAATTCCTAATCAGTACTCCTGAGAAAAGCAACTCCCTGCTAATGTGAAGTATCCTGAGGATAGTGGAGGTGGATAAGGGGTCATTCTGGCCCCCAATATGTCCATTAATTTAACCATGAGGGAGGGAAGGAGAATGCCCATTACTTGCTATGGAACAATGAAAAATCATTATTATTAATAAATAATAAAATAACAACATTAATAATATCTAGGACATGGTCCAAAGTTCATTGAAATCAATGGGATTCAGGCCCTCAAATTGTGACTTATAACTGTAAGATCCCACCGATGCCCAAATAACTGTTCTTTCCTTTCTTCTTTTTTTAAACTTTTCTTTTATTTTAAAATGTGGATGCTGCCAGTAATATGTTTGAAACTAAAATTAATAATAGTGTTTTTAAAATGGAGATTTCTCAGTCAATTTGCTCAGGTTGGTTCTGTTTTGGAACAGAATAACCATCCCTTGTTATTTGTATTGAGAGTCTCAGGAGACAAAACAGGATTGACATGCTATGGGAACACAGAGAGCAAACTGCACAGGACACTTCTAAACTTCTCATTTCCTCCTCAGCAGCAGGAGTTAGTAGTAACAAAGAGTCTGTATCTTTAAAATTGCATCATCGGCACTTTCTGTCTGCCATTTTCAACTCAATCTGAGAGCCCACACTCGGGCATGCGGTCATCGTCAAAACATGTCCAGACATGCACAGACACATACTCAGCTAGGGTCTGATTCAAAGCCCACTGAAATCGGTTAAAAGACTCCCCTTGACTTCAATGGACTTTGGATCAGGCCCAGAAAGAACACATGCACATACCTATAAAGAAATTGCACTAGTGTAACTATTTAGTTACAAAAAGAACAGGAGTACTCGTGGCACCTTAGAATAACAAATTTATTTAAGCATAAGCTTTCGTGGGCTACGAAAGCTTATGCTCAAATAAATGTGTAGGTCTCTAACGTGCCACAAGTACTCCTGGTTTTTTTGCGGATACAGACTAACACGGCTGCTACTCTGAAACCTGTCATTATTTAGTTACACTGGTGCAAGTTTTCTAATATAGATAAGCCCAGACAGACAGACAGAAAGATAGAGACACACACAAAAATCTGAGCTCTTTGAGGGAAGATGGATCCAATGGGATATACTATTTTTTTTTTCAAAAAAAAAATTTCTATAACTTTGTACATGTACCTCTTGTAATCTGCAACCTAGACTGCATCAGCTCTGCTGTATTCTCTCACCTTGTGTTTTTGTAAGAAGCACTTCTTTGGTATTTAAGCAAGAAAATCATTTTATTGTCAGTTACTTTATCTTTATTAAAAAGTTAGTAACTAAAAATATAGTTTGGTTATAAATAAACTCACACAGAGAAACAGACTGGAGGTATCTATTATATATTATATACATAGATTCACAACAGCCGTACAGATGCACATACATATATATGCCCAGAAAGTCATATAGGCTTTAACACATATAAATGCACACTTATACTTTAAAAAGAAAAGGAGTACTTCATCGGATGAAGTGAGCTGTAGCTCACGAAAGCTTATGCTCAAATAAATTGGTTAGTCTCTAAGGTGCCACAAGTCCTCCTTTTCTTTTTGCGAATACAGACTAACACAGCTGCTACTCTGAAACCTGTCACTTATACTTTATGGATATAGACACACAAGCACATATATATATATATATATATATATATATATATATTTACACACACACACAGCATCTTTACCTCTGTTCCAGCCAGTGGCCATGGCTTTCAGTACAGCCTCCCAGGCTGTGTCCTGTTTTACTGGGGTGTGTTTCTCCCTTTCAGTTTCTATTCCTGAGAACAGAAACACTGGATTAGAGAACCCAGCATGCTGACCCACACTTTTTCGTTAATTTCAGAGAGCATCCTGCCCCAGCGCTATTCCTCCCCTGCTCTGTACTGCCTTCACCCAGCACTGCCTGGGCTCCCTGCCTGTGCCTCCACCCCACCCTGCAGCACTTCAGATCTACTCCCTGTCCTGCCATTGGCCACTGGGCCCAGGCGACCCCACCCCACCTGCACTCCCATTGGCAGAAGCAGAAGCAAAAGTAGAGCAGATGTAAACTGCATTACTTGTGTGAACCTCCTTTCCCCTCTTCCCCTCACTTTCCTCCCTGGGTTATTCGGGAGCTGGCAACACTTGCCTGTGTGACTGGGCACTGGATGCCGTTGACAGTAAAGAAGTATCCCAAAGGTGATGTTGGACAGGAGAGAATCCTCTATCTACCCCTCCGCTGCAGTCCTTTTATTTGAAAAGGAAACTAAAGTTGGCCGTGCCTCCACCTGGCTGGGTCCTGTATACACGACGACATGCCTTGGGAGCCTCCAGGAGTAAAACTGAGCTAATCTGTGCATTGGGTCTAACTCAAAAATACCAATTATAAACAGTATACACACAATCTACACTTAGATTAGAGTTAACACAGCTTTACTTAACGATTTAAGGAAACATGCTGTAACAGACTTCAATTAAATGTCCCAACTAATGTAAATCAGCAGGGGGGAGTTCGATAAATCAATTAACAAATACAGTTTACAGCAGTAAATGAAACATATCCAACTTGCGTTTACACTGCCACCCTTTACCCCACCCCGGACCTCTGGATTTCAGAGTTGTAAATGCTGGCGTGGGTGCACTTGAAGGTCCTGAAGCTGAGGACAGCACTCCGTTGCTCCCCTAAATCTGACCAGCCAAGGCAACAAGAGGCAGAGTCATTCCAATCTGGCATCTTTCCAAGTGGCACAATTCGTCGAAGCCCCAACAGGCTTTCAGCAGCAGCTTCTGGCTTTCTAATGGCAGCTTCTGGTGTGGACAGAGCTCCATCAAGCAACCTCAGCTTCTCTCCAAAATGGAGCCCATCCCATGCTCTCTTTGCATTTCCTGAAAGTGGAAGGCAAATGCTCTCTCTCTTTCTCTCTCTCTTTCTCTCTCTCTCTTTCTCTCTCTCCCCAAGGCATCATGGGAGGTGTAGTTTCCTAGGCTGGATTGCAGTGCTCAAGATCTTCGCAAATGGAACACTTCCAATTAAGTTCAGAGGCCTCACAGAGAGAGAGAGACTGATGTACATGTGTAAGCGGGGGAATGCTCTGGCTGTGAAAAACTTTCCTGGCTTATACACTACCCCGGTGAAAGGGGCTAGCAAAAGCATCTGAGTCCTTGCTCCAACTCCCTTTACCCAGAGGCCTGCCTGACTTCAAGGACGCTCCTTCCACTCTCCTGTGTGGCAGAGTCCTCGTAACCCTAATGAGGCTGGGCCTGGGATTCCTGGGAGGCTTGACCCCCTGTCTTGTCATGGTCACTTAGGACAGGGTCGAGGGTGTCCTCACTCCAGAGTAATCGCTTCACATCAGACACTTCCCTGACCCACTGATCATTACATATAGTTCAAAGCATGGGCTTTGGGGAGGCCCCACCTCTTCTGCCCAAGGCCTCCCCCGCCTCCCGCACACCAGAACCCCGAAAAAACACACACACCCATAAAAGGAGAAGCCCTGAGGGGCCCCCAGGATGGGAGGAGCCCCAACCTGCCCACCCTAACCTGCCCACCCCAGCTCATTGGGCTGAGCTGTCGCTGCCGCCGCCGCCCCCCCGCCCAACCCACTGGCCTCCCTGAGCACCAGGCCAAGCCTCCAGCCTTCCCGAGTGCCAGCCCGGCCCTCGTGCTGGGCCGAGCCGCCAGCCCCGCAGCCCGCCCCTCCCCCCCACACACAGCCAGCTCTTCCCTCCCCTGAAGGCCCCCCCCGCCAAGCCTCCAGTCCCAGTGCCCAGCCGAGCCTCCTCAGTCCACCAGCCGCTTTCTCTCCATGTCCCTCCTCACTCCCCCGTCCCAAGGAGGAGGGATGCGGCGAGCAGCGGGGAGGCGGTGGGGATCTCGGGGAAGGGCCAGGGCCAGCGCGGCCCAGGTGTCCAGTGGCAGGTCAACGGCAGCGGCAGGGAAGGCGCCGCCCATGGCTCAAAGCAAATACAATTTATGAAACAGCTATTGTCAAATAATAAGGGGAAAATGGGAAAGGTTAAAGGAAAACACGTCACCCCGCTCTGTGGCATGGGGACACCACAACCAGCATCTCTGGGAGATAAGGAAAGTTCACAGTCTGTTCCTCACGCCTCCCAGACTTCCTTCCCAGACCCTGGCTGCCCTGTGCTGATACCACGGGTCAGGCACCTGCTCTGGTGGTGGCCACACGCCCTCAAGCTGTCGGGAACAGGACCCTTCTCCTCAGTGTCAGCCCCCGCCGTCAGGGTCACGATCTCCCTCCTGTCTGGCGATGGCTCCCTGCGCTGGGATCTCTGCTCTGGGATCTCTCCTCGCTCTCCCCCACCGCTCAGCGCACCCGGCTCCGGTGACTCGGGGCACAGCAGGCATCTGCTCCCCAGTTCCTGGCCTGCAGCTCCCGGCTGTAACTCAGCTCTGTCTCAGGTCTGCGTGGCTGGGCTGAGCTGCTCCAGCACCTGCTCCCCAGCTGGTTCTGGCTGATGCTGCTCGGGTTCCAGCCCAGCTCTGCCTTCGGGGCTCCTACTTCTCCCGCCCCCCTGGTTCTGGCTGCTGCTCCCAGCTCACAGGGGGGATGGGGCCCTGGGCTCCTGATGCCCTCCTTGACCTACCTGCCCTGTCAATCAGGCTGCTCTGAAGCACTGGCCTCTCTCCATTGGCCCTGGGGACTGTCAGCCTCAGGAACTTGATTTTTCATTGGCCCTTCCCCTTTGTTTTGGTACCGGGAGAGGGCCAATCAAAAAACCCCACGAAGTTTCAGTAAGAGGCCAACAGTCCCCTTACATTCCCACTTGCTAAAATTCTGCCAGAGCCGGAATGTTCACACCAGCACATCCAAGTCCCATATTAGGGCTGTCCAGCGATTAAAAAAATTAGTTGCAATTATTCGCACAGTTAAACAATAACAGAATACCATTTATTTAAATATTTTGGATGGTTTCTACATTTTCAAAGATATTGATTTCAATTACAACACAGAATACAAAGTGTACAGTTCTCAATTGATATTTATTTTTATTACACGAATTTTCACTGTAAAAAACAACAACAACAAAAGAAATAGTATTTTTCAATTCACCTAAGACAAGTACTGTAGTGCAATCTCTTTATCATGAAAGTTGAACTTACAAATGGAGAATTATTACAAATGGAGAAGTACAAAAAACCTGCATTCAAAAATAAAACAATGTACAATTTTAGAGCCTGCAAGTCCGCTCAGTTCTACTTCTTGTTCAGCCAATCGCTCAGACAAACAAGTTTGTTTACATGTGCAGGAGATAATGCTGCCCGTGTCTTATTTACGTCACCTGAAAGTGAGAAGAAGGTGTTCACATGGCACTGTTGTAGATGGTGTTGCAAAATATTTATGTGCCAGATGCACTAAAGATTCGTATGTCCCTTCATGCTTCAACCACCAATCTAGAGGACATGTGTCCATTCTGATGACGGGTTCTGCTCGATAACGATCCAAAGCAGTGAGGACCGACGCATGTTCATTTTCATTATCTGAGTCAGATACCTCCAGCAAACAGCTGATTTTCCTTTTTGGTGGTTCTGGTTCTGTAGTTTCTGCATTGGAGTGTTGCTCTTTTAAGACTTCTGAAAGCATGCTCCACCCTCATTCCTCTCAGATTTTGGAGGGCACTTCAGATTCTTAAACCTTGGGTCGAGTGCTACAGCAATCTTTAGAAATCTCTCATTGGTACCTTCTTTGTGTTTTGTCAGATCTGCAGTGAAAATGTTCTTAAAATGAACAACATGTGCTGGGTCATAATCCGAGACTGCTATAATATGAAATATATGGCAAAATACTGGTAAAACAGAGCAGGGGACATACAATTTTCCCCCAAGTAATTCAGTCACAAATTTAATTCACACATTATTTTTTTAACGAGCGTCACCAGCATGAAAGCATGTCCTCCGGAATGGTGGCCGAAGCATGAAGGGGCATACAAATGTTTCGCATATCTGGCACTTAAATACCTTGAAATGCTAGCTACAAAAGTGCCATGCAAATGCCTGTTCTCACTTTCTGGTGACAGTGTAAAGGAAGAAGAAGGCAGCATTATCTCCTGTAAATGTAAACAAACTTGAGTTGTATAAGTGACCTACAGTCAATCAAACCCTAACCCTGCCCCTTGACCCCTTAAACCCTGCCCCTTTACCCCTTAAGCCCTGCTCACCTGTCACCAGAAGCCCCGCCCCAGGGGGTATTACTTCCAGGGTCAAGGCGACCACATGACCGGAAGCAAGGTGTATCATGTGACCCCTCTAAGAACTCCTTCCACTTCCCTCTACCAATCAGGATGGGATATGTCCTGATAGGACCACCCCGAGAGGAGATTTTACCAATCAGGGTGAGTTATGGGGCAGGGTGACCTGTCTGGAATTGGGTTGTGTGACTCCTCTAAGAACTCCTCCCATCACCCTCTACCAATCAGGAGGGGTTTCAGCCACTAGGGACCACCCCGAGAAGAGACTTGACCAATTGGGGGGAGTTTGGGGGGGCAGGGTGACCCATCTGGAAGTGGTTTGTGTGACCCCTCTAAGAACTCCTCCTATCACCCTCTACCAATCGCAGTGGGTTTCAGCCACATAGGACCACCCCTAGAGCAGATTTGACCAAAATAGGGCTGGTTCTGGGACAGGGTGAACCGCCCAGAAGACGGTTGTGTGACCTCTCTAAGAACTCCTCCCAGCGCCCTCTGCCAGTCAGAGCTCAGCACTATCATCCCATAAGTCCCAGCGCCAGGCAGAAGAGGCCATATTTTACGAAGAACATGTGTTTTAGAAATCGTGGAAACATGGACTCCTTCACCACCCCCGTGAGAACTTTGGACTTTGTTTTACCCCAGAGGATCTTCGAACATCTGCAGAGAAAGCGCTACTTCAGTGACAGTTCTGAGGAGGAGGAGGGAGCGGCCGAGGGGAGCCCTTTGGCCCAGCCGTTGATGGATACGCCGGAACCTGAACCCGAAACCCAACTGCTTGTGAGACAGCCCGATGTGTGTGGTGGCCTTTTACTGTGCAAAATGTGTTTTAAACTGGATTTTAAAAGTGGATTTTTAAAAGCAGTTTGGTTTTTATTCTGCAAAATGAGATGTATTTTAAAGTGGTAGAAATAAACTCAAAACCTGTGTTTGTTGTACAGCCTGAAATGAATTATTTTGTTTTAAAGCTATGACTTTTTAAACAGAAAATCATCCTAATGAATATTCTATTTTTAAGTTTACTAGACAGTTTCATGTGTTTTATAATAATAATGCCTGCTTCACAGTACGGTCAAAACATGACATCCTTAGACCAGAGGGTAAACAAGCTTAAAAGGAAAGAGACAACTGAAAAGAAAAATTCCCCAGTATCAGTGACTGATGGATGGATGAAGCCCAGTAAATATATTTTGCTTATTGGTTTGGTTATTTTATGAGGTCTTGCATTTTAAGTAAATACATAGGTGTGGGTGAGAAAAATGGTAAAGCTAAGTTTTGTAATATGTTTTTTCACCGCCCCCAATCAGGCATGTGCAGCCCTTCTGACAATGCCATAGTGGGAGTTACAAGGACACCTCCACTAGAACCACCAAAGAACCAGGAATCTACTTTGAGACCTTTAACAACTGTTAGGGGAAAAAACAATTAGCCCTTGCTCTCACCAATTTAGGTGCTTGATTTGACTCTAGGATCCCACGAACTTCTAAATTCTGAGTCTAATCTATACATGCGTCTTTCATTAGTTAACAGAAATACAGCTCGAGCTGGGTGCCTCAGGAGAGGGACCCTGCCCCTCAGAAATTGCAAGCAATTATACCCTTTACAGTTGGTAACACCGCCCTTGCTCATGTCTAAAGTCCAATCCCCTAATTTGAGTAGGGGTTTCTGCTCTTTTCCATTGGACAGTTCTGTTGCTGAGTGGACAGTCCGTTGCCGGGTGCTGGATTTGATCCTGGAGACAGTCAGTCCTACTCCTTGCATTCTTTTTTATCTTCAGTGATAACGGGCAGTCTAAACTGGTTTTGTAGCTGGTTCTTCAGCATTCCTCTCAGGTCAGCTTGACCTCAGCCTAAGGCTTCAACTACTTTAATCACTTATGCTAAATTAGTAACTTATGCTAAGTTATAAGAACAAACTTATTGAACATTCATATAAAATAGCATATAAGCGCTTTTTTATAACAGTCCCCCTTTGATTTTGTAGGCATCCCTGCCTACTTATTCTACAATTTACTTTGCATGAGCACTTTGCGATAGCCTTGAAAAGAATGAATTAACATATTTTGCAAAAGCTTCCTAATATACGACACTGCACAACATAATGTCATTAGTACAATCAATACAGGAAGGAAAATCTTAAGTAATAAACTGAACAAACCACTAAGCCATGATGATAAACCCCACCCCAAAAAGAGAGTTTGCAACCAATCGCTTTCAGGGACGGTGTAGGTACTCCGACTCGTTGTGCTCCGACTCGTGCATGGGCCTCTGCCCGTACCACTTCCTCATAGACTTCATAGCTACTGTCATTTACACACACATAACAACAGGATCCAATGAGAGCGCAGACCCCTCCCTGGGATGCTAACAGGTAGTCTAAGGCCAACCTGTTTTGGAGGGAATACGTTCTGAGTTGTTGCACTTCCTTATTTAATGTTTTTACCGCTTATCCCAAACCACTAATCAAGTCTTCTAACTCCAAGGCAACCTTTTTAAGTACCATTTGAAGTCTCACAGTGTAATGGCCTATGCATGTCATGGCTGGCCCTGTTAGTAGTGGTACTATCCCCAGAATGGAACACCCTAGGCAAACCATACCAATGTCGGCATCCTCCTCTATACCATACAAAAAAACACCACCACCAATGTAAGTCCAATAAACAGCAACACAAGAAGTCCTGGTGGGCTGTAAAGGTTCCAATAACTGGAAAGCTCAGTCCATCGGTCGGTAGTGGCGTTTATTTGTGAAGTGGCTCGTCCGATGGCTTGTCAGGGTTAGGTGGAGGTCCCAGCGCCAACTTAACGTAACTATGATGGATCCAGGAACCTTTACGTGCAAAGGAATGGTGGCAGATGATGGAAGTAATGTTTGTGGCTGTAAGGCATCTTTGGTATTCATCATCCGGAAAACAATTAGGGAGGACAGTGTATTCTGATGGTACTTGCCCACAAGCACAGATTCCAGCCCCTGGAATAAACCCACCTCACCACTTCACTCCACATTCCCAAGAATACATCTCGCAACTCCCTCCCTGCCAATGTACAATGCTCCGTCTTTCCCACCAAGGCCAATTTTCAATGTCTTTTGCAGTCAGGAATCCTTGGATCTTGGTGGTTTCAGCAGAGCAGGCGTTCCTTCTTCTCTCTTAGAGCAGTCATGGTTTTGCATTATACAGGGGAGAGGTTACTAGCACGTCACCCTGTAGTGCTTTGGTTTCTTTAGCAAATACTGAATGCAGGTTAGCTCTGTCAGTGGACAAGGGAGAGGTTACTAGCACTTTACTTTGTCCTTTCCCCTGCTGTCCAAAAGGAGGAAAGAAAAAACCCAGAAGGAGGGACAGGCTGATCAGTAGTCAAAGTGAAGTCATTTCAAGGTGGAGGGGTCTTTTTGCAGTAAGAAGCATGGGTCCAGGCAGTCAGTCCTTGGCACTTTACAGCGGTGTTGGTAGTTAGCAGGACTTAATAAGGGCCTTTCCAGCATGGGGCCAGAGTAGTCTTTCGTTGATGGACCTTTATGTAGACCCAGTCACCTGGTTTTAACAAATGGCAGGTTTCCTCAGGATCTTTGGAGCAGGACTTCCTTCACCTGTAAATACAGAGATCTAACACATTTCTTTTATGTCTGGAAGTGTTTTGCAGATCTCACAGATGCTTGGGCACATTCAAGCCTCCCTCTTTCTTGGCTGTCAGCCAAATTCTAGCTGTGAGTAGTGTCCTTGGGCAGGCCAGCATCTTATCTTTGGACCAAGCCTGCCAGCTACAGGGTTGAATTACCTCGTCCTCCATTCTTTTTCTTCTCCCCTTCTTGGCTTCTATTAGCCTGCAAAGGAAACTTTCACTTTCCACTCACACACCTTTGTTTAAAAATGAACACATATACATTGCCCATTATACAGCACTTTAGTCTTATTGTTTAATGTATGCCACATACACCCTTCTAGGAAAATGACTTTATTGCGGAGCTTTGGAGCAACAAGCCAGGACAAGCACACCCACTTTTGAGGAGTCCACTTGGTACAACCTCTGGTGTCCAATAGCTTTCCTCCCTCCCCAGTCCTCTGGCTAGAAATTTGAGGTAGCCAGAAGGATCCCATGTATAATATAGGGAGTGGGTTAACCTTTCATGTCCTTGCTTCCATGACAGTTGGTGTGCGAATTTTAACAACAATTTTTTTTTAATTAAAAGATCTGCACAATGAAATTTTTTTTTTTTTACTTAAGCAAATGTATTAAACTTTAGTATATCACATTTTCCTGATATTATCCAAACACTTTGTATTCTAAGTTGAATAAAACAAGTATCTGCATTTTGATTTAACCCTTGTATTTAGTTTTAAACTAAACTGTCCTATGAAAAATTAAACACAGCAATTCTGGCTACAAGACAAACACCACAAGACAGGACACATAGAACACAGAACATAATTTCTATTGTGCCAGTAAATTCAAAGGATGTTGAATTGCTTTTCAGCTGGCATCAGTTTTCTCTGATTTTCTGAAAGACAAAAAGAACATAGATTTACCCCTTTTGGGCAGTCAGTCATTGCTTAAAATATCTCCTTTTTATACAAATACTCTTGTTAATTGCAGGCACAACAGAGGAATTACACATATTTTTTTGTATTTGTTTCATAGGCAGCCCAGGTTTCAGTGGCTTCTACCTTATTATTTAGGTAATTTACATTAAAACAAATGCTTTCCGGCTTGCTTCTAGATCCACAGCTTAAAGATTCTTACTTTAAAAAGGGCACAATAAACTTTACCAGACTTTTGATTGCCTTTTATTTTTAACTCCTGCTGTCAAACACACAGCGACCTGAAAAGGAAGACACCGCCTATTGTAGCCCCTTGGAGCCTGATAAGATATTAATTAAGTAGCACTGTATAATTGCATTCCTTTGGAAAAGGGCCCATTTTCCTTAAAAATGGCTGCAAAGAAACCAAGAGTTCTTTTTTTTTTCTAGTATTTCACAAAGTTCAACTGCTTAATTCTTTCCAGCAACTACAGAGTTAACTTCTCACTTTCCTTTCTTAAATCACTTCCTTATCTTCCAAAACGACATCCAATCAACTTAGATTTTACCATTCCAAGTATTATTCCGGGATTTACGTTTCCCATTCCTGTAATTATTTACTCCTCCTTTTCCACTATGCCCTCCAAGTTTCCAACCTGTTTTCCAATCTTTCTATCTGTTGCCTGCCCGCTTGGGCCTGATCCTGTTTTTCTCTCTGAACTGTCCCTTCCATGAGCAACAGCTTTATCCCACTACTAATTTAACAAGGAGGGTGGGCTTTTTAACTAGCCCCCCAGCTCTCCTGGTCTCTTCTCTTAAATATTCTCACTCACAGGGCTACCCGAGTCCTCCCCTGTGAGGCGTGTTACCTGGACAGAACGCACGGCCAATTGACAAGCAAGGAAGTGACGGGCATAAGTCAGAAAGCCGAGGGTAAGCCGGAAGAGGGGCAGAAGCAGGCATAGCACAGAGCGGGGCTGGAGACCCCTGAGATGAATAAGAAAAGCAGGAGGAAAGAGGACGTCCTTTCGCACGCGCATAAGCCCAGTTGTCCCATACATACCAATAATCCATCTGTTTAGGAAACCTATTTTTCAATTGTTGGCGTAAAAAGGTTAATTCTTGTAAATTAAAAGTCCCTAAGCCTGGCCATTGCTCCGCAGAATTACCACCGTTGGTTAAAAACGGCCAGTCCTTCTGACACAGCTGTACCAGATTCTTTTTCCCTAGCCCCTTGGTACCATCAATCCTCCTCCAATTTCCCAGCACTTCGGACAAGGGCGTCCCGTTTTCCACTCCCAAAGAATTACCCATTTTATATTCTCCTTGGGCTGCGCTTTATGCTGATCAGGTCACGCACCCTTTCCAAGTGCACTCTACCTATATTTTCTTGGGCTGCGCTTTATGCTGATCAGGCCACGCACCCTTTCCAAGTGCACTCTAACCAGTCCTGGGCTGCACTTTATGCTGATCAGGCCACACACCCATTCCAAGTGCACTTTAACCAGAAACCTAAATTTGGAATTTAGAATGTGGGAATTTAAGACTCACCCTTCGGTGCCCCTCGCTGCCAAAGATCCCAGGTGAACTCACCCATTGGTGCCAAGTGGATGTTTGGAGGCGAGAGGCCCCAACGATGGTTGCCTAGAGTCCTGCCGCGGTTGCCAAACTGTTAGGAGAAAAAACAATTAGCCCTTGCTCTCACCAATTTAGGTGCTTGATTTGACTCTAGGATCCCACGAACTTCTAAATCCTTAGTCTAATCTATACATGCATCTTTTATTAGTTAACAGAAATACAGCTCGAACTGGGTGCCTCAGGAGAGGGACCCCGCCCCTCAGAAATTGCAAGCAATTATACCCTTTACAGTTGGTAACACTGCCCTTGCCCATGTCCAAAGTCCAATCCCTAATTTGAGTAGGGGTCTCTGCTCTTTTCCATTGGACAGTTCTGTTGCTGAGTGGACAGTCCGTTGCCGGGTGCTGGATTTGCTCTGGGAGACAGTCAGTCCTACTCCTTGCATTCTTTTTTATCTTCAGTGATAACAGGTAGTCTCAACTGGTTTTGTAGCTGCTTCTTCAGCATTCCTCTCAGGTCAGCTTGACCTCAGCCTAAGGCTTCAACTACTTTAATCACTTATGCTAAGTTAGTAACTTATGCTAAGTTATAAGAACAAACTTATTGAACATTCATATAAAATAGCATATAAGCACTTTTTTATAACAACAACACAAAACAGCACAAGAGTGCAGATGAAGCATCAGGGCAGTCCAAACCTCATATACATCAAACTCAAGAACAAAACAAAAGACTCTGGTAAAAAAAACAACATGAAAACACAACTCCAGTTCTTCAGCGGCCACTGCCACACCAAGCCCTGAGAAAACTGTGAGCGAAAACGCCCACATTCACAAACCCGGAGCACACTCTCCAGAAGTTCTGAACGTGAGCAAAACCACACACATTCACAAACCCGGAGCATGCGCTTTAGGGGTTGTGAGTAAAAAAACAAGCACTGACAAACCATTCTCCCAACACCATAAGCTCATCACACCCCCCCCATATTCTAGTATTTGGGAAAAGTTTGATGCTTCATTCAGAAAACTGATGGATGCTGTATCCTTGGGGGTTATAAAAGAATGGCATTCTAAGAAGATTTGGGAGAAATATGATGCTTTGTTCAGAATATTGGTGAACTCTGTATCCTCAGGGGGTCTAAAAGAAAGGAGGGCTGGAAACCACATCAAAAATGCAAAAGCTTTGGCTGGTGACTTTTTGAAAAATACTTCAATTTTTCCAAAGGGTGGCTCTGAGCAGGCGTGACAAGTCGTGGAAAGGGGCCTGGGTAAAAGGGGCACCCTCAAGGGTGCACATCAGCTCAGGTGTAAACAAAAGAGGGGACAGTGCTTGGGGGATAAACAGATGGCTGCCAAAAAGTTCCAGGCCAGGGTCGCTGTAAAAATTTTTAAAAGGGCTAAAGAGGTAATGATGTAGACGATGCTGCTGATGGTTCCGTAGAGGAAACCCCCAAGTAACCCTGAAAATGCAGAGGTGTATATGGAGAGAGTAAGAAGTTGGCAAGGTGAATTACCTAGATATGGGGGGTCAGTGTATTGTGAGAAATTTTGTTCTGTCAATCTTGAGCAAATAAATTCAGCTCAACAGATTGTTGAAGCCATACACGGAGGGATACAGTTAGTTCTTGATGACGTTAATGGTATGGTAGGCCCTGGTGATTATGTTCAGTTACGTTTAGAGAGCCGAAATTTAACTAACCCTTTGTTTTTGGTCAGAAGAACTAGGGATGAGCGGTCTGCTGAGGATTTCTTAAACCAGACCTCAAAGTTGCTACAGAGCAATAGAGAGTTGCATGTCGATGGGACATTGCACCTCGTTGTGACAGTTGTAAAAAACGGGGGTGGGGGCGGTCGTAGAGTTTTAAATTCTATCCTCAGTAGTCAAATTATTCATAAAAAGAGACAATGTTTAGTAGACCTGATTTACACCAGAACAAATCTGTGTTTTGCGGGTGGGCTCTTGGCCATCATGTCTGAGCGTAAATCTACGGATGCGGAATTGTTAGTGGAGGCAAGAAAGTTGCATGAGAAACTGGGGCGGTCAGATCAAAAAAAGGTTCTGCTCAGTGACGTAGCAAGGTTTGAACAGCATTTAGGAGTCAACATACAGGTGGTGCTGTATGCGGTGAAAGGCAGCTGGGACTTTTTTTAAAATGGGGGAGCCCAATGTACCTTAAGACTTATTTTATCCTGCTGTACGATGAGCATTACTATGGGGTTCTGGATGTGAAAAAGTTGTTCGGAGCAAAAAATTTTGTGAGTTTTGCCACACAGTGTACAGTCACGACCTCTCTTGCAGGTATCGTTGCCGCCTCTGCTTGAGCGTAACATGCTCAGACAGCGTGGGTGTGCCGCTGAAGTGTCCTAGGTGTCGACTGTATTGTCTGTCCAAGGAGTTTAGACAGACACGTCGACTGTGCATCGAAAAAACAAGTCAAATGGCTGCCTAAAACTTTGTGTGATAAGTGTCAGTCTTACGTGGACAAGCGGCACAGGTGTAAAGGGAGGCGCTGTAAGCCGTGTCAGGGTTTGATCACTGGTGATGTACACAGCCACCTCTGTTTTATGGACAGCATTAGAAAGCCCGAATCATCAGATAAATGTATTTATTTATTTATTTATTAAATTATTATTGTTTATTTTATGATTTTGAATGCACGCAGGAGATGGGGTTGCACGTGCCCAATTACATTTTTGCTATGTCCCTAAAGCCGGAAAAATCCTGGGAATTTAAGGGCTGTGAGTGTCTTTCTATGTTTAGACCTTTATTGGCAAAGAATTCCGGGACTACATGTTTCTAGCGCACAGTTCCAAAGGTTATGATATGTATTTCATCATTAGGCAGTTACTGAAGGAAAAGATGTGGATAAAACTGATCACTCAGGGTAGTAAACTAATGTGTGTGGAAGTTAAGGCCCTGGGCATTCGCTTTATAGACTCTTTAAACTTCTTGCCCATGAAGCTTAGCAAGTTCCCGCAGGTGATGGGGTTTGAAGGGTGCAAAGGGTATTTTCCACATTTTTAAACACTTTTTAGAAAGTCAAAATTACATGCGGCCTATGCCCGGTGTGGAGCACTATGGTGTGGAAAGCATAACGCCAAGGGAGAAAGCAGAGTTTCTTGACTGCTGTCGGGACCACAGATATGAGATGTTTGACTTGCAGAAAGAGCTTGCGTATTACTGTCAGCAGGATGTCAAAATTTTGAGACAGGCTTGTATCCTATACAGAAAAGAGATTATGAAAATGACGGAGATGGGAGATATAGTAGAGAAAGAACTTGGTAAATTCACCGAGATGAAACTGTGTATAGATCCATTCCGGTACATAACGCTGGCATCCGTCTGCATGGCTATGTAGAGGTTTATGTTTTTGGAGCCTAACATGGTAGCTCTTCTCCCTCCAGACAACTATCACAGGCAGAAAAAGAGATATTCGACCCCTTCTATTCAGTGGCTGTTGTATACCTCTCACAAAGAAAATATACAGATACGGCATGCTTTACAGGGTGGGAAACTACAGATAGGCCCCTACTTTTTAGATGGTTATGACAATGTTGATGGGGTACACACGGCCTTTGAGTTTAACGGGTGTTTTTTCAGAGGCTGTGTCACCTGTTGTGAAAATGCACAAAATCCTATGACAGGGACAACTTTTGGGTTTCTTTATTACAAGACGCAGCTCAAGACCGACTATCTGAAAATACTTGATTTTGTAGTGAGGAGATGAAAGAAACAGACAAGGAGCTTGCAGGTTTTTAAACTGAGTCCAGGTGCCCCAGCCTCTCATGCCTAGGGATCCTCTTTTTGGGGAGAGGACAAATGCTATCCGCCTGTATTACAAACCTAACCCTGGGGAAGAAATCCACTATTATGATTTTACCAGCCTGTACCCTTTCGTAAACAAAACCAAAGAATACCCTATCGGACACCCCAATATAGTTTATGACAAATTTGGACCCCTTGCAAATTATTTTGGAATTGCAAAAGTTAAAGTGTATCCCCCGCGAGGCCTCTTTTTCCCATTGTTACCTGTCAGAGTGGATGGCAAGCTTATGTTCCCACTATGCCGAACCTGTGCAGAAACCGAGCAGTGGGAGACATGCACCCACACTGATGAGGAGAGGGCCATCCTGGGCACTTGGTGCACGGTGGAATTGAATGCAGCCATAGTAAAGGGGTACGCGGTGGCTAAAATCTATGAAATCTGGCATTTTAATGAAAAATCTGATGAACTCTTTTCAGAGTACATAAAATTACACCACTGCCAGAAACAGGAGGCTTCAGGGTATCCCAGGTGGTGCACAGATGAAGAAAAACAAAATAAGTACATTAACGATTTCTACCAGAAAGAAGGCGTGCGTTTACGCCAACACGAGATCAGGTCAAACCCCTCTAAACGCCAAATTGCTAAACTGTTTTTAAATTCTCTGTGGGGTAAATTCGGCCAAAGAACAAACCTACCCAACACCAGCGTCGTGAGAGACCCTGACGAACTCTTTCAGTACCTGTTTTCCCCCAATTACGAGGTTTCATCCTGTGAGTTTATCAACAATGAAACCATGTGTGTGTCTTGGAAGCACGCAAAAGACCGGTACTCTGTCTCTGGCAATACCAACGTCTTCATAGCCTATTTCACCACCGCTTATGCCCGCTGTGACAGCGTTGGGCCAGATGGCTATTGGAGAGTAATAGAAGGCAGATATATTAGCCCGAGGCTAAGAAGGTCCCTTTTCCCTGGGTAAGGTAACAGGGAAGGTTCCAGAAAAATCAGGAACCTTCTGGAGACAATTAAGACAGGCTGATTAGAACACCTGCAGACAATCAAGAAGCTGCTAGAATCAATTAAGGCAGGCTAATCAGGGCACCTGGGTTTTAAAAAGGAGCTCACTTCAGTTTGTGGTGTGCGTGTGAGGAGCGGGGAGCAAGAGGCACTAGGAGCTGAGAGTGAGAATGCGGACTGTTGGAGGACTGAGGTGTACAAGCATTATCAGACACCAGGAGGAAGGTCCTATGGTGAGGACAAAGAAGGTGCTGGGAGGAGGCCATGGGGAAGTAGCCCAGGGAGTTGTAGCTGTCACACAGCTGTTCCAGGAGGCACTCTAGACAGCTGCATTCCACAGGGCTCTGGGCTGGAACCCGGAGTAGAGGGCGGGCCCAGGTTCCCCCCAAATCCTCCCAACTCCCGGTCAGACACAGGAGGAGTAGACCTGGACTGTGAATTCAGAAAAACAGCCAAGCTGAGGGCTGCCGTGAAGCTCCAAGGCGAGCAAATCCACCAATAAGCGCAAGACCCACCAAGGTGGAGCAGGAACTTTGTCACACCACTTAGAACTATACAACCTCCTAGACAGGCTGCAGGAGCTGTGCCTGTACCATGACACTGACTCGGTGATATCTGTGAAAAGGGAGGGTGACTGGAATCCCCCTCTGGGGGATTATTTAGGGGACCTCACAAGCGAGATCCCGCCAGATCAACACATCACCGAGTTTGTGTCGGCAAGCCCGAAAACATACAGGTATAAGCTGTCGGGAGGAAAGGCCTGTATGAAAGTCAAAGGGATTACCCTGAACGTAGCAAACTGTGAAAAGATCAACTTTGACAGTTTGAAAGATCTAGTCCTGGACCATTGCACTGGCCTG